CCTGTGCCGAGATACCGACAGTTAATTGTGGAGTTTAGCAAGTCCCTGTTGGGAATGCGTTTACTACTCGTAATGCACAGTTTTACCTTCAGCCTGTCGAGACTCTGCTGTCTTAAGGCGCTAGATTAGCAGAGGGAGAAAAAACAGTGTCAAGTGTATGGGAAGACTTTGAGGACGTAGATGCGATAAAGTTGCGCCGAACGCACCCAGAGATGGTGACTTAAGCAACTCGGAGAAGTGCTACCGTCAATAGGACAATAGTCCAACGGCTTAAGTCTCCATTCATGGACCGAGCTACTTTCGTAATACTGAACAATACACCTATGAATCATAAAAGCACACGGCTTACTGAATGTGACTCAGTTTCCAGCTTCCAAGAGACCCAACGCCCTCGGAGTCAGTCTACCACATCAATATTAACAATACGACTGGACAGTCAGTTAGCTTGAATTGGCAGGGAGGGGGAGACGGAGGGATCTTTCCGATATCCTACTTCGTTGGCGTCACAATCTGTTGAAAAATAGGCAGAAATGGTCAACGCAGACCTACAGATCGTTCAGTATTAAAACACCCACTTCAAAAAAATGTGGCAGACTCAGTCAGTAATCACAATGTATGAGCCGCAAAGGCTCAGAAACAAGAACCGTTTAAACCTGTTAAGGTGACCATAGAGGCAAAAAAGAGTAAAATTCACGGTAAAATAATCGAATAACCGTAAAGGTATGTTCTTTCATAAGAGTTATAGCATGTGACTTCTATCGTGCAAAATGCTGGAACTTCTACAAAGGACTGCTTATCACTCAATACCTACCCTCAGGCGGCCTCTTTATGGTTCGCTACCTAGGTTTCTTTTCGGCAGCCAGCATAGACCATAAAATGACTGCTTATGAAGTTTTATTTTTCTCCTGTTCGTTTTCGATGTCCTTACAAATTAAAAAATATTTTGGTAAAGAAGACACACGATCGAGCAATGGAACAAATTGTATTTTGTCCTGATCTTTCGGGCTACTGCAGGAGTCCATCTTCAGAGGTGGAAAAACAGCAACAGAAATATTCCTTGTATTCACTTTTTTTTATACTACAAAGTCGAATTTGAAACTCACAGATTCTGCATCTTCCATTTTAATAAAATTTCGAATTATGAGCTTTTTAAGACCTTCAAGGATCATTCAAATTGAATCAGAAGGATGGGACGTGGTTCGTATTTACTGAAAGATTTTATGGACACCATATGGTGTCCACTTAATAGTATGGAGGAAGGTATTATTTTTCTTGCATGGAGCGTACACAGATGGTAGTTTGGAACTCTTCAGGATAAGTGCAACGGCAGCGTGAGTTCGTAATTATGCAGGGACTGAAAACTGGTTTGAAACCGAAAGCTGTTCATTTTTTCGAGCATAAACTTTGAAATAGACGTGCTGACAGGATAAATGGAAGAGAAATTACCTTATCATTGAGGAAGGTGACCATGTGAGAGAGGATGGTGTCATTGCTGTGTGAACGACCAAAGAAAGTGGCCAACTTGGCCAATGACTGTGTCTCCATTAGGGATCGACGTACAAAGTTCTCCGAGTCCGAGAAGAGCGTGACCAGACGTTCACGAATGTGGCCGCGGGAGGTTTTGAGCACGGAGTCAGAATTATAGGCTGGAAGGTATTCGTTGAGCAGCCGAAGTACGACGTTAATTTCCGTCATAGGAACTGGCTGACAAGGGTCAAATGGAAGGCCAGGCAGGGGGCATGGAAGAATAAGGACATTGGAACATAATATAAAGGTAAGAAATGAGAGCTTAAAAAACTCAAGGTGCATTGGCAGAGGTATCATTGATAGCACAACATATATACGCTTAGACCCAGGCCTGGGTCTTACGGTAAGGGTTAGATATAAAGAAATAATTAGGTAGTTATGTATAATAACCCCTTATTGGCGATTAGCCTTTTCTTGTCGTCCCAAAGAAAGGATTAATTTTTGTAATCGTGCCATAGCCTTTAACTTTACGTAAGCCCATCTGAGCTGCCATTCTTTACCTTTCCGTAATCACGATTATAATTTTGCCTATTGCCCTATCCGGTCCCGTAACACACAAGACTTGGGCTAAGTGTATATGAGATGCGCAGTCAATTATACCTCTGCCGTTTTTTGTTGCCAAAAAAGTTCGATGACGTGCTAACAATCCGCAGTATAGGCCTAATGTTTGCCGATATTGCTACCGCCTTTAAGATCTAATTTCCGTTTGGATAGTTTGGCTCAGTCGCCAATCTCTGCCGCCAGTTTTTGATGAACCAGAAACGTTTTACCTCCGCTCCATTGGTTCCTGACATGTCCAATCAGAGTACGTGGGTTCATATTCTACGGGTACCCATACAGCGGCCCTCCGTACAACAGTTGTATGGGGGTACGGCGACGGAGCGTGGTTTCTGCAGTTTCCGCTACCAAAGACGAGTAGGCTGTGCGGAGTCTTACTGGACATCGAAGAGCACTTTGGGTCATTACATTTTTATAGGCCACCAATTTGCTAATTCAGTAGCCAACCACACCGAAAGGCTCTGCTGCCCCATAGTCAGCG